ACATCAAAGTCCTACTGAATTACTCGGGGTGTGGGAAGAGTTCAACTCTCCATTTTTAACAAGCTCTGTGACTCTATGCATGCTAAAGTTTGAGAATCACTGAACTCACTAGTAAGCCTGAAGAAGACCCGGTATCTCTCCTGCAACCTCCAGGAGGATGCCCTAAGGGAAGGGAAACGGGAAGCAAGATGTATTTCCAGGAAGACCACCTGTGCTGATTCCCAGGCTCCAGCACTTCTACCATCTCAGCCTGGGTTCCACCTGAAACCTCAATTTCCTCATCTGTACAAACCTCACAGGCTTGCAGTGAGGATTAACTGATAATGCAATGAAAGTAGCACACGGTGGTTGCTCAATATGCATGTTTTTCTTTCCCTTCAATATGCAGCAAATTATTTTTAAGCCATTCCGTCACATCACCAATTCCAGAATTTGTCAGACAGGCCTCTGAGCCCAAGCTAAGCCATCATATCCCCTGTGACAGGCATGTATAAATCCAGATGGCCTGAAACAACTGAAGATCCACAAAAGAAGTGAAAATAGCCTTAACTGATAACTTTCCACCATTGTGATTTATTTCTGCCCCAACCTAACTGATCAATGTACTTTGTAATCTTCCCCACCCTTAAGAAGGTTCTTTGTAATTCTCCCCACCTTCGAGAATGTACTTTGTGAGATCCACCGCCTGCCCCCAAAACATTGCTCTTAACTCCACCGCCTATCCCAGAACCTATAGGAACTAATGATAATCCACCACACTTTGCTGACTCTTTTTTCGGACTCAGCCCGCCTGCACCCAGGTGAAATAAACAGCCATGTTGCTCACACAAAGCCTGTTTGGTGGTCTCTTCACACGGACGCATGAGACCGAATTATCTTTACATATTCCCAAAGTAATTCTGAAGGTACAAGCTTCCACACTCTGGAGGAAAAATTTCCCCTTTTAGAGGATATTTAAACCATTAGTAATATACACCAGAATGGGCTCCCTCATCTTTGCGTCCTAGTCCTTTGGGAGTTCCCCCCAACTACAGGTCCCTATTTCTCTGGGGTCTCCCTCACCTTTGTACCCATCCCTTTTGTTCTGTGTCCCTCGCTTTGAGTTCCCTCACGTCTATGCCAGGCCGTCTTTGGGGCTCCCCTTCACTTCCATGTCTTTTCCTCTCTGGAGATGCCCTCTAGTCTGGTTCGCCCATCGGGTACCCTCTCCTGCTAACTTGCCTCCGGGAACCCCGTGGGCCTTCTCACCCCTCCCGTCCCTCTCCCCAAGCCTCGTCGCCCTCTCTTCCTCCGCTTGGCTCCTCCTCCCACCTACAGCCCAGCCCATCCCTTATCCCGCGGCCAGGAGAAGGCAACTAACGAGGTGGCCCAACCCCCACTTTTCCCCTCACCTCTAGAGCGACGCCCAGATTCTCCCGCTTCTTTTTAGTCATGTTAGTTGCCCGGATCCCCAAGTCATCACTGGACGCGCCCACCAAGTCGCTATGCGCATGCTCAAGTCTTCATGCTTCTCCCTCATTGGCCACCAAGGCAGCGGGAGGTGGGGCTGCTGGCGTCGCCATCTTGTTGAGGGGCGCGGCCGGCTTGGTGCGGACATGTTTATGAGGGGCAACCTCTAGCTTGAGGTCTCAGCCTACGGGGGTGGAGGAAGGAAAAGTCTGTACAGGGAGGCACAATGGACAGTCCGGGAGTGGACCTGCCCTTTTCTTCCCCAGTTTTAAGTCACTTTGCATCACTTAGATCCTTTTTTAACCCCATGTTCTCTTTCAGTGTGCTTTGTGTTTCAGCAAAAACCCTGTCCCTGTTTAGGCCACGCCCCTGATTCAAATTCTGTCCATCCTTCAAGGCCGGTGCAGGAGCCCTGAGCTCCTCCGCCAGTGGGATCTGATAATGACCTTATGTTGTTATTTCTCCTTTGTGTCTTGACTTCTTTTCTTTTTGTTTTGTTTTATTGTAAGAACAGCCTACAAACATCACAGAATACATATAACTGAGAAGCAGCATCCTTTATTCTACCAACCTTATCAGTTACTCTTTGCTTCTGTTTATTCCTCCCAGGCTTGGCCTCACACACAGTATTTTATATTGTTGTAATCCTACTATACTGTACACCATAGACCTACGGCCTTTGAAATGTTTTGACTGTGACCCCATGACAAAAAGTATACTTTATACCATGGCCCAATTATCCATGAAACCAAAACCAAAGTTTCACAGTAAGTACCTTTACCACCTGTGATGCACTCTGTTATTTTCTATTCTTGCCTATTTAATTAAAAAAACAAGGCCGGGCATGGTGGCTCAGGCCTGTAATCCTGTGTCCAGAGTTGGTTCCTTCTTGTGGGTTCTTGGTCTTGCTGACTTCCCAGTGAGTGTTACAGTTCTTAAAGGTAGCACGGACCCAAAGAGTGAGCAGCAGCAAGATTTATTGTGAAGAGCCAAAGAACAAAGCTCCCACGATCATGGAAGGGGACCTGAGTGGGTTGCCACTGCTGACTGGGAGGTGGCCAGCTTTTATTCCCTTATTTGTCCCCACTTACAGAGTGCTAATTGGTCCATTGTGCAGAGTGCTGATTGGTCCATTTTACAGAATGTTGATTGGTGTGTTTACAATCCTTTAGACACAGAGTGCTGATTGATGTATTTTTACAGAGTGCTGATTGATACATTTACAATCCTTTAGCTAGACACGGAGTGCTGATTGGTGTGTTTACAATCCTTCAGCTAGACACAGAGCACTGATTGGTGCGTTTTTACAGAGTGCTGGTTGGTGCATTTACAATCCCTTAGCTAGACACAGAGTGCTGATTGGTGTATTATAATCCTTTAGGTAGACATAGCACTGATTGGTGCATTTTTACAGAGTGCTGATTGGTGCATTTGCCTTTAGCTAGACATAGAGTGCTGATTGGTGCATTTTTACAGAGTGCTGATTGGTGCATTTACAATCCTTTAGCTAGACACAGAATGCTGATTGGTGCGTTTGCAATCCTCTAGCTACACAGAAAAGTTCTCCAAGTTCCCACTTGACCCAGGAAGTCCAGCTGGCTTCACCGCTCAATCCCAGCACTTTGGGTCAGGAGTTTGAGAGCAGTGGCAATGTGGCAAAAGCCCGTCTCTACTAAAAATACAAAAATTAGCTGGGTGTGGTGGTGGGCACCTGCAATTCCAACTACTCGGGAGGCTGAGGCAGGAGAATCACTTGAAACTTGAAGGCGGAGGTTGCAGTAAGCCGAGATCATGCCACCGCACTCCAGCCTGGGCAAAAGAGAGAAACTCCATCTCAAAAAATAAAAATAAAAACAAGTTGGTGGCAGGAAACCTCTTAGGTTTATTTCATGACCCCTTAATGGAGGGTGAATTGCAATTTGAAAACCCCTGCCAAGGATGTTTTCCTGTGTCGTTGAAATTATCATTTGCGGTGGCCTCATGTGCCACCAAGTGAGTCTCTCCCATTGTTGCATTGGACATCATTTTATTAATGGTAACTCCAAATATTGTGAAAGCAAACATTTTTGTGCACACGGCTCTGTCCTCTGGATTCTTTCTTTAAGATAAATTCACAGAAGTAGAATTACTAGGTCAAAGAGTATGAGACCAGAATCAAAGCTCCTTATTTCCTGACCAGTTATCTCTGTTGGTGCCTGTGTTTGTGTGTGTGAATAATAACCCCAACTCCGTGTTTGGGGGAAAAAAATATTTTCAGATCTGTGTTCTCTTCTTGATGGAGACATTGAGTGATGGAGCTGGAAGGGGCCTGAGATACCATCTCGCCTGGCTGCCTGACTGAGGCCCACAGAGAGAGAGTGTAGTAAATTCTATCTGAACAGGAAGCAGGCTGTTGAGCAGTTGCTTAGTGCAGTTCTCAGCTTAACACCCAGCACAGGAAAAACTGATTCAAGAACATTGTCCATCAACTGTCAATCAACATTTATTGTCAGAACTCTCTTCACAGCATTGGTTCCAATCCCAGAAAAACCAGATTCTTTGCTTCCCAATTATCACAGGCACCGGCCCAGGGGAGGTGAGAAGAGGAAGAAAAACACTGTGTTCTTTGAGAAGTGGCTCCTTCTGCATTTGTTTGGCACCAGGAAAAAGCCACAGAGATCTGGGTGCGCCTCATGTCGGTCCCTTGTCCATGAAATGATGGGCAATCTGTTGTCTGTCTTTCTGAAGAGCCTCATGTTTTCCCAACCAAACCTTGTCCCACAGGTCTGATAATGGGAAGAAATGCTTGAAGTGGGGTTGGAATGACAGTCTATGTGGGTTGTAGTGAAAGGGGAAGCTTTTAGAGGGAGATCAACCTGGATGTCAGTCCCAGCTCTGCCTCTTAGCAGCCTGTGATGTGAGGCAAGATACTTCAGCCCTCTAAGCCTCGGCTTCCACATCTATAAACAAGCACATCATACCAAACTCATAGGGTGTTTGCGAGAAGTACGAAGTGCCGGGTGCTGTGGCTTGTGAGTGCCCAGGAGAGTCTCAGCAGGACTGATGAGGCTGCTGCCAGCTTGTCATTATAGAGTTTTGCTTACCAATTGTTGCCATGGGTATTTTTTGTTATTATTTTGTTTTCAGTTTCTATCAACTTTGACACTATTGTATCTGTTATTATAAATTTGAGGCAAATACTTGGGTGGTTTCCTGCTATCAAGGGTGCATAGTTCACTGCAAAAGGCAGCCCCTAGCAAACACAAGCGTCTCTCTGTAAACAGGAGATGCCCTCTCCACCTGTCTACGTGTCCTTCCTGCTGAGACCATCAATTACGGGTTTCCTCTGTCCCAGACATCGCAAACAATAGTGACCTGTGTGGTGTCAGGGAGGATGCAAGTGCTCCAGGTACCCCACTGAGGTCCTTTCATCCCCCTGGCACATACAGAGACCCAGCTTAGATTCCCATGGAGGCTGTTTGCTGAGCCTTAGAGCAGCTTGACTTGCCTCCGTGTTGGAAATTCTGCCCAAGAGCAGACGGATTACTGTGGGCCAGCTGTCTGTCTGTCTGTCTGTCTTTATTATCCCAGGGAGCTGTGGTTCTGAACCTCCTATTCGGGGGTTTTAGAACTAAGTGTTTCAGGGAAGTAGAACACTGCCTTGACAGACAGGAGAACTGGAGTCGTTCCTGGCTAGCCCAAGTTCTCACTGCATGACCTTGGGCAGGTCAAGCCTCCTCTTTGGCTCTCAATTTTGTCTGCTCAATGGGTACAGCGGGGAGAATGAGACAGTCACCCTAGGCTCCTGTTTTTCATGACCTTGTTATTTGTAAGGTATGCAGACATAAAGCTTCCTCGTTAGCTGTAAGGGAGACAAATAAAGTAAGAACTAACGATTACCTCAAGATCTCTTTAATCTGGTTAGAGCGACAGACTGACAACATGAAATAGTGCATGCCAGACATCATATAATTAAATGCCAGCTGTCTGGTACTCGCTATTGTTGCATTTGGAGTGCAGAGAAAAGAGAATGGGATGGGTATTTGGGGGTGGCTTTGTGGAGGTTATGAGTCCAGGAGGACAGACGAGATTGCGTCAGGCAAAGATGCAGGAGAGGGCATCCCAGGGGGGAACCCACAGGGCTTCCTGTGCCAAGAAGGGGCACCCTTTCCAACTTTGCACGAAAGCATTTTATACTCTAGCCACATCCCTGGCTTATTTGTCCTAGAGACCCTGGGAGATCATTTCCTCTATCCCATGCCTCCTGGGCTTGCCTGAGCTGTGGGGCCCAGTGTTGGGTCCCCATCACTGCCCGAAGGGAACCTTTTCAGAGGAAGAATGAGGGAGAGTGGCATCGCTCACCGTCAGAAGCATTTCAGGCAGGAAATGAAGAATTTTGTAGGTGGTTAAAAATACTGTGAAAGCTGATTTATGTGTGCGTTTTGTTCCAGGACAGCACATTATAGCCCAAGTTCTGAGGCAAAGGCAGCAGCGCCTTTATGGCCTGCTTGGAACAGTTTTATGTCTTAGTGAGTTTTATACATTTCGGCTAAGCCAAGATGCTAGAACTTTTTTGTCCACATACTTCACTGGGGAAAACGCACGTACCACTCCTTGCACCCAACCTCATGTTACCCTGCAAAAAGAAAGAGAAGGAAGGAAGGAAGGAAGGAAGGAAGGAAGGAAGGAAGGAAGGAAGGAAGGAAGGAGAAAAGAATGTGCTTGGTATTTAGTTGGTATCCAGTTTTCAGTTAACATAAATCAAATGGTAGACAGTGAATCCACATGAAACAGAGTTAGCATCCAGTGACATGAAAACCAAAGGATCTCTGTATATTGTTGAATATGCAGACCACTCCACCCTGCAGCATCTTTTTTTTTTTTTTTTTTTGTCTCACTCTGTCACCCAGGCTGGAGTGCATTGGTGCAATCTCGGCTCACTGCAACCTCCGCCTCCTGGGTTCAAGTGATTCTCCTGCTTCAGTCTCTCAAGTAGCTGGTATTACAGGCACCCGCCACCATGCCTGGCTAATTTTTGTATTTTTAGTAGAGACGG